TGGACTTTATTTGTAAAACTTATAATAATAAAAAAATTATTTTATTTTAAAATTACAAAATTTGTTATGTTAAATTATTATTATTTTTTAAATTTTTTTAAGTTATTTTTGTGTGTTAGTCAATTTTAATATTAAAATAAAATTTATAATTGTTATTTATAATAGTTTTAAAACCAAATTAATTGCTTTTTTTATGATTTTTTAATTTTAAAATCAATAATATAATTTTTTAAATAAATAATCAAACTATTTTATTTTTTTATTTTTTTAGTAATATTATCAGGCAGAAATACAGCTTTTTATACAAAAATTAATTGGTTTATTTTAATTATATTAATTATAATTACAATTAATATTATTAATATATAATTAAAACTTTAAAATTAATTATTTAAATTCAATTATTTAAGTTATTAATTTCCAAAAAAATAAAATATTAAGTAAATTTATAATTAAATTAATTAATTTATATACATAAAATAGTCTTAACAGAATATATAAGTTTAATATAATTTAAAAAAAGATAAATTTTATACTAAGTTAATTTTTATTATAGTTTTATAATAAGTAATAAGTTTTTTCTTCTATTAATTTTTTATGTTTTTAAATTTGGGTATTTAAATATTATATCTTTTTAATAACCAATTAAAAAAATTCTGGTTTACTTAATAATATAGCATTGGTTTTTTGTCGTTTGTATTTTTTGTAGTTTTAATAAAATTTGATGATTTTTTTTAAAAAATATAACATTAAACTGGTTTTTATTTAAAAACAAACATTAAATAAGATTTTTTTCTTAAATTTTTAAATACTCTTTTCTGTTTTTAAATTTTGTAATTATAAATAAAATAAATTTATACACTATATTTATATTATTACAAATAATAATATAAAATATGTTAATTTTTATTGCCAAGTAAAATTATTGTCTTTATAAAAAGTTTGGAAGATTTGTAATTTTACTTAAGTAACAGTAATTTAGATTTCTGTTTTTATTAATAACAAATTTATTTTTGTGGTAAGTGTAAAACAAAATGTTTTTGAAAAAAAATAAATTTAAAAATTTATACAATTAACAATTAGTTATTGTAAGACTTAACAAATACATTATTTAATCAAACAATTATTAATATAATTGCTACCGGAACAATTTACAAAACTAAATGTCAACTAAAATATCAAAAAAAAACCGAGAAATACTAAAAGCACCAAATTATTTCCATTTTTCAATTAAAAAAACAGATATTTAGTTTAAATACCTTAAAAAACCAATAAACCATTTTTGTAACAATGCATTATTAGCAAAAAAATAATTCTTACATTTTTCCAAGAATCTTAAGTTGGCAAATTCCAGAGTGATTAAAATAGTAAAAAGAATAATTTACAAACATTGGTTGCCAACAGCTAAAATTCGCACTGGATTTAAAGCAGCTGATTTGATTGAACCAGATGATGTGGTGATATTGAAAAGTGGCTAAAGTCTGATTATTAAAGAAAGACTGAGCACAGACCATAAAATTTGGATGGATTTACTAAAAAATCATAATTGTTTAAGCCTAAGTGGTCGGATGTTTGTTCTTAATGTAATATAGTCTTGACTGGTCCAGGTAGTTACGTGTAAAAAGCGTACAATCAATCCTTTTTTACTTTAAAGACATGTATATAATCTATGTACGTATATAGTGATTGGACCACACTAATTTTCCAATTTGTTTAACTTTATTTCCAAGTATAGAAATAAAAAAATGGTTTAAATTTTCAACTCATCACAACACTACCAATTGTTAAATGTAATACAGACTGGTGATAAAACCAAGTGTTTAAAAAAGTGTGACTTGTGTGTAAATAAAGACGGGAATGGCGTCTGTAAAATTTAATCATGATTATATTTAATGAATACAAAACTCGAATTGATTTTATCTATTTTCATCCGATATCTCAGGCATAAAAATTAAAGATTAAAAGCAATTCGCAATTTGGTATTTAGCGAAAGGAGCTGGAGCTTAGCTCCAGAATCAAAAGTGAATATTCAAGTACCGTAACCAATATTAGTCCTGGAGGGGATGGGAAGGAATGGAGGGAATAGGATTGCTTAAAAAAAAAAGCTACAGGCAAAGGAATAAAAAATAAAAGCCAAGTGATACCAGCAACTGGCGGATACCAAAGCGCGGGCAATTCGAATGGAGGAGTTGTTATTAAACCACAATGGGTTATTATTACTGGAAAGGAAAGGGGAAAATGACACAAGGAACAATTATCTTCCGCCTTTCATCCAAGTTCAAGACCGGAAAGTTTAAGGAGAGGAGGACAAGTCGACAAAAGCAATGCGATCAATGGTGGGAAAGGAAAATGAAATAGAGAAGCCTTGAGCCTATCTTCTTCTTCTTCTTCTACCATCCGCATTAAGCCCATTGATACCGTCAACGCGGCGTTTGGGTTCTTCGATTCCCATTTCTTTTCCATCAATAAACAATAAACCTTGTTCGACAGCTTTTTCATAACTGTCCTTTGAAGCAAAGGTAGCAAATGCGCAATGCTATAAAAAATGAAAATTTTAAGTATTTGTGATAAATAAAAGATAATCACGAGATTCTCTTACTTTAGTGGTTATCATATCGATCTCAAGAACACGGCCAAATTGTTCTTCGAGGCTACGTTTCAACTTAGCTTTACTTATATCGTCAGTAACGTGTCCAATATAGGCTCTATTTTCTGGAAAAAATAGCTAAAAGTCAGCAAGAATTCAACATCTAACAGAGAGGACTTTATGATAGAGATCGCAACCTCTTATAGAGGAGTTATCACTTCCTGAAATCCACTCAGCTTCACCCTCCCAATCTCCATCATCTATAAATGTCCACATAAAAATTAATTTTTTAGTGGTAATGAGCCATCAGACGCCGCAAATAACCATTAATAAAATGGATGAGGTTCTAAAGAAAAGACATACTATGTCTGTCCCTTTCCGAAGGAGCGACTCCTTCATTGTGATGATTAATAGAGGAACTGGTAGAATTGTTTAACCCATTGAGGCTTCCGTTAGACTTTCCCTTATTTGAGGAACTTGCTAAATAGAGGCAAGCAAAAAAAACAATAATTGTCTTGAAAATGCATCAGTAAGGTCTTCAAGTAAATCGGGTGCAATTGCTATTTCAGCTATTAAAAAGGTTATTACCATGAACAAGATCCCTATAGCCTCTCAAAGCCTCCTCCTTAGCAGCTATAAGCTCTTTTTGGACTTGAATAAGGGAATCTGACAAGTGTGTAATCTTGTCGTCCTTCGCTTTTATGATACTGTCTTTTAGTTCCAATTGAAGTTTAAGAACTTGACAGCTCGGACAAGTTTCACTACGACTCATCCTCAAGATTGTCTTTGCAAATAAAAACTTGAAGCGGGTTTCAACGAAGAGGGAGACGCTGTACAAAAGAAGGCTCAGGGAGCGACAAATATCGTGCCAAAAATGTTTGCAGTTTTGGAGTTACGCCTACGTGAACTGTTGATCTGGCCATTGATGTGCCAATCAGGGACCACTTTCACGTGTAACCTATCAGGTCATATGACTCTGAAGGGAGAAAAACATTTCAAGTTACACAATTTGAGTGTAGGTTTTTGCTCGAACTTTTGAACTTTCCTAAACCTGCGTGAATTTGCCCTTTTTCAAAGTAAAGTAACTCAAGTTTCCAATTTTCAAACTAAAAATGTCTAGTTCCAAAGATACTAATACCGTACTTTCAGACGAAGCGGAGAATTTGGTACAACGTGGGGAAGAAAAAACACAAGATTCACCACATTCTGGTGCCGACTTCCTAAAAGTCTATACGCAGGTTCCTAATGAGAGTGAGAATTTAACAGTTGAGGAGTTGGAACAAGAAAGATCAATCGATAATCACATTTTGGAAAGTAATCCTCAAAAAGAATATGAAAATCCCACTAATCACTTTGCATATGAAAGCAATACTGATTCAACTGAAAAACAAGACTTAAACGTAAATCTGATCCATCAAAGTGCTCTTGCTTTTAGTGCATCGGCATGGCAAGCTGTGTGGGATGAAAATGTGCAAGCTTTTTATTATTGGAATACTTTGACCAACGAAACCACTTGGGAAGTCCCCTCTAATTACATTAATACAGTCAATGCAACCACAAACCAAGAATCATCGATTGAGAATGCTGCCAATAATGCACATTATCCCCCTACTACTGGTGAAGCTTATTATAATGACTATTATTCGCAATATGGGTATTACCCAGAAGCATATTACGCATACGACACAAGCAGCTCTCCTACTGTAAATGCGGTAGAATCCACAAATCCACTCGATACTCTCCTTGACAAAATTGACACAGAAATAAAGTCGAAGCTTGACGGTACCAATTCTGTTGGGTCTACCAGCTTTTCTTCCGTTTCGGAGACCTATGTTTCACCTGATGGAACAATAGGGGACCATTACCAGGATCCAGCAGCAGCAGCAGAAAATGCAGCCGATTATGATACTTTTCTGGCACAACACGGTATTGGAGGTGATTACACGCTCAAAGCGCGGTTCAACTCACGAACAGGCAGATTTCAACGTGATCCGACACTGAACCCCGAAAGGTTCTCAGCCGATTCAAAAGCGGTTCGACAAATGTCTTATTTTTTCGATTATGAATCTTTTTCACAGGAGAGAGGGGCAAAACGGTTAAAGGGAGATGGTGAGAAGAATAAGAAATTAACTAAACGACAATTGGAAGTACTAAAACAAAAAAAGAAAGAGAAAAAAGAAATGAGAAAAAAAGCGTGGTTAATGGGCGATGATTAAGATTTTATAGAGATTAGTCAAGTTGTTAAGTGGTTTAACTTTTAAATCGCAATCTTTAAATATGGCAGATTTTTGAGTAATCACTTTGCTAATTTCACATCTAGTATAATAAGTATTATTGCCATGAATCGTAAAATAATTATTAAATTGTCAGGCATAATCATGGTTAAAACTTATTTATTTATAAATAAAATAATTGTCTCGTGTCGGATTCGAACCGACGACCGTCTGTGTGTTAGACAGACGTGATAACCAACTACACCAACGAGACGCTTATTGTAGTATTTGCGACAATTTTTGTAAAATAAATAAATAATAGTATACTTGACACGTTACGTAATTTAGTAAATAAGCAAGAGTATTTTAGTTAACTTAATATATACACTGAAAAAAAATAAAGAATAAAAACTAATATTCTGTCAATAGTTATAATTAAAGACTATTGATTTAAGATATTAGTAAAAAATACAAGTTGTATTTAATAAAACTAAGTTGCTTTAATTTATATAATAATAAATGTTTTATTAATCAATAATATAACAAAAAAATTAATATTTATTAAATAACAATTTTTTTTTCAAAATTTATATTTTGTTATTTGTTATTAAAATTTATATTTATTATAATAAATTTTTTATGTATTTATTTATTATAATAACAAATATAATTTAATTATTATTTAAGACTATATAATATATAGTTTATAAATTAAATATAATTTATGTTTTTGCTATATATAATTAGTTATTTAAATTAATTAAAACTATATTATATTTTTAAAACTGAATTTAAAGAATATATATTATCAAATAAATTATAATTATTAAATTAAACACCAAAAATTATATAATTAATAATATTTATATTAAAATAAATTAATAAATATTTATTATATAAAAAACACATAATTTTCTGATAATATTTAGAATTATAAAATTATTACCAATAATTAATCTTAAGTTTTTATATTTAAAAACCAAATATATTTATAATTAAATATTAAATTAATAATATTTACAATTATTAATTTATTAAATAAAAATTATTTTATAAATTTAATATATTAAGTTTTAAATATTTTTTGATTTTATAACTATAATTAAAACAAAGAATAAAAAAGTTTTAAATATTTTTATAATTAATAAAGTTTTAATAAAAAAAGAATTTTCTATTATTAAAGCAACTAAATAAAATGTTTTGACAATATTTTTTTAAATATTAATAATAAAAACTTCAAAAAACAGTAGTAATTATTTGTATTTACTATTATTACATTAAATTTTTTTGTAATTTCAAATAAAATCTTGGATAAAATTTTTATAGTTATATTTAATTTTTTTTTAATATAAACAATAACAATAATAATATGTTTTAAAATAAATTAATATTAATTATTAGTTGTTTACCAAATATAATATCTTTTAATAAATTATTATTAATTCTAAAAACAAAATAAAATAAAACATGTTTTTAACTAATTAATTTATTAAATTATAATTTTAAAATTTAAACTGATTAAATAAAAATAGAATTAATTTTTTTTTGTTTTTTGGTATTATTTTTAATAATATTTAAAAAATAATTTCAGTTATTAAAAATTTTTTAAATAAGTAATTTTTGTTTTTGTGTTGTTACAAGTGTTTATTTGGGGTCTCAAATCAAATAACAAACTCATAACTTGGTGCTTGGTAAATGTTCTGATTGATAATTTGATCTGGGGTTGTTGGTATTTGAAAGTATTGTTATCTGAAGGTTTTAATTGAGTTCTTTGTATAATGAACAGAGATTTAATAGTGTTTATCTGTAGCTTTCCAAAATCGCAGTTTTGTTAATTTCTTTTTCAGTGTGATGGCCAGTATTTCTCCTGGTAAGCTATCCTCAATTGAGTATTCTACTTTTATTCCTGGGTCTTTTACCAGTCACTTTGACATCAGTATTCTGTGTATTATTCTCTTTTAATCAATTAGTACACAACAATAAAATCACAGAAATAAAATAAAGAAAAACAAAAACAAAAAAAAATAAAGAAAATAAGCCAAGACAATTTGTAAGTTAGTATCCTGTCAATAGCCATGATCAAGAGCTATTGTTCCAATATGGTTAAGTATTACTTGTTATTAACATAAAGTGTTAATAGTGAAGAGTGAAATTAGAAATAGTAAATAATTATTTATTGATATTTGTGATATTGAAAAGTTGTTTAGATCAAATCTAAACTGAGAGGTCTGTCTTTTCTACTTCTAATATTACTGCTATATATACATAATTGAGATTCCTCAATTCTTCAATTCTTTACACCAGAAATCTTGGAATTCCTGGAATTCTGCAATTTCTTTTGAGAGGAATTCTGAAATTCTGCAATTCTGCAATTCCTTGTATGAGAATTCTAAAATTCTTGGAATTCTATAATTTTTCTTGAGAGGAATCCTGGAATTCCACATTTACTATGGCTACTTCTGATTGGCTAATTTATATGCTAATATACTTTCTATATTTTATGAGTAACAATGTTTAATATTATGTTTAAAATTAAATTGGCCTTAGTTAATTTTTTATTTAAGTTGTTGTCTGATTTTTTTAAGCTTAAATTAATTTTAAAAAACAATATTAAGTTGTTTTGTATAGATTTTATTTCTTAAACTGCTTTAGTTACTATTATTAAAGTTTTTATTAATGATTTTTTTTGTTTATTTATATTTAAGATTACAAAGTTTTTTGTAATAATTTTTGATTTTTTTTCTAAATTTTTATAGTATTTTATAATATTTTTTAATATTTTTTTTGATAATATTAAAAATGATTATGTTTTTAGTATTGTTATTTTAGTTTGGTTAAAGTTTATAAATTTATAATAATATGTTATTATTTAATTTAAGAATTTTTTTGCTGTTGTTATTTTTGTTTGCTAATTTATATTAATAAAAAAGAATAATATTAAGATTTTTTTTATTTAATTAAAAAGAAATTATTTAAAAGACATTTTTATAGCCAAATTAATCAATTTTTTTGAAATTTAGATTTTTTAAGTTAGTAGTTATATTTGTTTTATTTTTTACTTTTTTAATTTATATTATTGTTAATGTTTTATTATTATAATTTTTAAGTCTTTAAAAATTATAAATTTTGTTATTTTTAATACTAATATTTTATATAAAACTTAATTAAAAATTTTTAGATATTATTATTGCTACAAATATTAAAATTTAAACTATTTAATTATAAATTATAAATTATTTTTATTTTTTCAAGTTTATTTTTAAGTTTACTGATTGTTTTAATGTTTTTAAATTATTTCTTATTAATACAAAATTTTATGTTAAAACTATTTCTTTTTTGGTTTTTTTGTTATGTCTTTGATTGTTTTTACTGCTAATTTTATTTAATTCAAGACTAAATTTTTTAAAATTTCAGATTTTTAATTTGGCTATATTAATTTATTATTAACTTATTAATTTTTTGGTTATTTTGACTACTGTTTTTTTGGCTAAAAATTTACATAAAAATTTTAAAATAAAAAAAAATTTAATTATAATAAATACTATTATAATTTATATTAAACTTTTGATTAGTTTGTTTAAAAAATTTATTAATTTTAAAGCTAAGATAAAATTTAATAATACAAATAAAATTAAAAATAATATTGTTAAATTATCTTTTTTAAATAATAATATTACTGATTATTTGATTACTTTATAATTTTAATATTAAGAATAATATTAAAAAAATTAGATTGTTTTTTAGTAAGTTTATTTTGATAATTAAAATTTAAATAATATTATAAAAAGCTTTAATATATTAAATTTATTTTTAGTTTTTTTTAGCTTAGTTTAATTAGTGTCTTAACTAACAAAATAATTAATTATATATAAAAAACATATAACCTTACACAAAAATTTATGAATAAAATTTTTTTTATATTTAATATAATTAATATTTAAATAAACAAAATTATATAATTATTTTTAAATAACAACTAATAACTTTTTATGTAAAATTTTTGTTAAAAAAAAGTTTTTTTATTTATTCAGTACAATAAAATCAAATCTTTTTTGCTTAATTACAAGACTATTGTTAATTTTAGTATTATTATTATAAAAAAGTTTATTAAGAATTTTGGTCTTAATAGTAATAGCAAACAAATTTTTTTTAGAAAAAAAAAAGAGATAATATATTGGAAAACAGTATTGAGAACAAAATAATTTTTGTTAAGATATTGAATGATTATACTTGGAGTTTTGAAACTGGTAATACTACTGAATCCAATAATATTAATATAAAAAAAAAGTGTTTGATAGAGAAAACTAGTGTTGATTATGATAAAAACAATGTTTTTAATAAAGAAAAGTTTAACCAAACACCAAAAGATCCATAAATTAAGACCAAGAAAGCATTGAAAATGTCTTTGTAGAAAATTAATTTCTTGAATAATACAGATAATAATATTTTATTAGATGTTCTGCCAGCTTTTTTTTTTTCTCAAAAATCTGGTTAATATTTTGTTAGAAAATTATTTGTTCTGAATATTAATTTGAATAATATTGTTAAGAAATTTTCTTAAGACAAACTTTTAACAATCAAGAAATTATTTTCAAAAATCAATAGTTTTGGAAAAGTGTTTATCTTCTTAAAATTTGCTGAAATTATCAAAGTGACATTTATTTCTGAATTTAATTTGACATAGACAACTGAATTGGCAAAAGCTAAGAATATTATTGTGAACACTAATCTCAAAAAATCAACAATATATTTAAATCAGACTGTAGTAATAAAAAATCCCAATTAGAATGTTGATTAATGCTGTGCATATTGCACTATTCGAATTTGAAAAGATTAAGTCAATCAAAATACAACTGATAGGACTGTGGCAAAAGACTATGATTAAATTTGGTTATTTAGATCATGCTAATTTAGTTGCAATAATATAATCTGTCTTAATTAGAAAGAATACAGTATGTATAGCCAAAGCTAACATTAACAAAAAATTTTGGGATGCAAAAGACAAGAATAGGATGCTGTTTTACATGTTGCTAATAGAAATAAATACTCATAATATATAAAAGTTTATTGGTTTTGTAAGTGGAAAAACATGTATTATAAATTGTTATTCAGTTATATATGTCTAAGCTAAATGTACAGTAATCTGTTTTAATTTTATTAAATCATTAAAAACTGTCATAAAAACCATGCTAGTATTAAAAGACACTAATTTGTATTGGTTTTGCTTGAATTTGGCTAAATATATAAAATATGGAAATTCAAGTCATATATTAT